CCCGGCCCTGCCATCTTGGCGCCAGGCGCTGTCGCCCTGCTTGGCTGTCGGTGGGGCGTCGGTGCACCACCGTTCCCGCCGAGGGCCAAAAGAGCGATGAGTCAGAGAGCGGCGCATCGTCGCTTCCAGTTCGACGGTCGTCGTCGTCCTTCGGGACGCGCGTCACAGGAGTCAGCCCACCAGGGATCAGCCAATCTCCTCCGATCCTGCTTTGACGACCGAGGCTTGGGAGATATGTGGGGCATCTGAGCATCCCCTCCTCCGCCGACCCCGGGTTGGGGAGCAATCTTGTGGCCGACCCAGGCTCGTGGCATGGCCCTGGCTGTCCCAGGCGTCCGTCCCCGATTCCCGTCGCCCGCGGCCGGAGGCGACCCGGAAGCGACGGCTCGTCGATCGACGGGGGAGGGGGGGAGGAGGAAGAGGAGGGCGTTCGTCTCAAGAGGAGCAGGACTGGGTGGTTGTGAGGAGGACACGGGGGGGGTTGGAGGAGGAGGAGGAGGGGGGGGTACTAGGACGAGGAGGAGGGGGACGAGGAAGAGGAGGACTAGGAGGAGGGGGAGGAGGAAGAGGAGGACGTTCGTCTCAACAGGAGCAGGACTAAGAGGTGGTGAGGAGACGGCAGCGGTGAAGCGGTAATCGGCCGAGTCGAACGGAGTTCCAACTAAGACGAGACGAATTTCGAATTGTGCGACGTACCGTGCGCGGTATAATATACTTCGAGAGATGGCTTTTGTGGTTGGAGTTTCGATATGTCATCGCTCTACCCAGGCTATACGCTGCGAGGTCAATTAAGGCAACAGCGTGGGCCGTCTGGTGAGGAGGAGGAGGGGGAGGAGGAGGATTGCAAGACGACGACGCCGTCCTCGTGTACTCGTCCTCGTCGCCTTCCCGCCCCCCCTCACTCGCCCCCCCCACCCCCAGGACCGCGAGTTCGGCACCGGGGCCCTCAAGATCACCCCAGCGCACGGTGGGCGCCGCCTCCCCCCCCTTGCGCTCCCCCCCTCCCCCGCGTGGCTCCCAGCAGGCCCAGCTCTCCTGCGGTAGGAGGCCACATGCGAACCCCACCCCACCACCCCACGAGTTCCAAGGGGGGGAGGTGGGGTTCACTTCGCTCTGAAAATCCACCACGAAATAAACCCCACCTCTCCCCTTAGAACTCGTGGGGTGGTGGGGTAGTTCTTGCATGTGGACTCCTACTCCTGCGAGGGGAGGATGGCCCAGCGGGTGGGAGGGCGTGCACGTCCAGGAGCAGGAGCACGGCGAGCAGACAGATGAGGGAAGAAGCGGGGTCGTTGCTGTCAACAACTCTCTCGCGCGGGGTTCTCGTTTTGAGCTGAGCGATGCTGCCGCCCTCCTCCGTGTCCCCTCGCCTCCCTCCCTCTCCCTGCTCCTGCTGCCTGCCTCCTGACTGGTGGCTGCGAATTGTGACACCGTAGCCGCCGTCGTGGTCTCCGGGAGGGGTCCAGCGAAGCTGGGCCTTACCCAGGTCTGAACTCTTAGCGCCTCGCGCACGCATCCCCGCCATGCCCCCCATCTAGGAACGATGCCCAGGGAGCTGCCCTTCTCGGGGGAGCGCGGCATCAGTGGAGAGCTCGGGGAGCCTCTGTGGGCCAGAGGCTTCTTGGATGTCTTCCGGAGACAATTGGGATGTCTCTCGGGGTCTCTTGGATCTCTTGGTGGCCTCCTGGGTGCCTCCGGGGGCCTATTGGGCGCCTTTGGGGGCATTTTAGCGGCTCTCTTGGGAACGTTTCGGGGCCGTCATGAGACCATTTTGGAGGCGATCGATCAACGAAGGGGAGTCCTAGGAGGCCAACATTGGACCAAACCTTCGGAGCATCAATGATGTTTGCCTTTTGGGTGAGGCCTGCTTGGACGCTCCAACGACACGCGACCTCTCCCGTCCAGACCCAGGGAGAGGGGAGAGGTAAACCTCTCCCCAACGGGGAAGAAGGAGGTTAGAAGAGGAAACGCCCTAAACCACCTACGCCCTGACTGGCTGGTGGGATTAGACTACGAAGCTGCCGCCACTTTCGTGGGTCTGGGAGGTCAGCGAAGGGCAGCCTTATGGAGATTCAACGGGACCTTTCGGCTACTGGGAGGCCCTGCGGAGGGCGGTCTTACGGGGATCAAGCGAGACATCGGTCTCCCGTGGCCACTTTTGCTTCGTCTCCTCCTCCTGCCACGCACGATGTAAATTAGGCAACCGCGACCTGCCGCCATTCCCGCAAAGCGGTGAGTACATGCTGGCGACGCCTTCTTCCGCCCAAGTGCTCCGTGCATGGCGGTCTTACGGGTCGGTTTCCCTTGGGTCTGCGAATTGCGCAGTTGTCGCCTTTTTCTTGAGTTCCTGGGAGGTTCATCGGAGCAGGGCCCCTGTGTGTTGCCAATTGAGCAACTGCCGCCGTTGTCTTGAGCTTCTGAGTGGTCTTACGGAGAGCACGCGGGACCTCGGTCTTCTCGGTTGTTGCCAGTTGCAACTGTCGCCATTGCCCGCGCCATTCTTGGCGCAGCTTTGTTCCATCTCTGCTACTCCATTTCGAAAGTTTTGCAACGCACAAGCCTCCCGCATAGCTTTCACAGCAAATCGTGCCCCGTGCCACGTCATCATCCGTAACAAGCCGGCTCTTTGTGTTGAAAATGAGCTGCGTATTGCGGGTGGATGTGGTACATCGCAGAGTTGTTTCTGATGTTTTGCCCGCCTTCGGCATCCAGAGAACTCGGGGAATCCAACAGGAGGCGGAAGGAAGTGGATCGCAGGAGGGGGCAGCGGGGAGGATGGGCGAGGTCATGTTTCACGGACAAGGATTGTGAGCGTATATGCAAGGGGAGAACGAGATGGGAATCGTGACGGGGTAGAGGTGTCGCCGTGAATAAGAGGTGTTGCGAGGAAGGGATCATGACGTTTGTCTCGTTTTCTGCCTCCTGGAGCCTGGGACAACAAAAACTATTCAGGATGAGTGAACGAATTGGGGAAAGCCTTGGGTCCAGGACCCGTTTCCCTCAGGACTCTAGTCCCTCATGCAAGTGTTGGCATGGGAACAGAGATTGGGAGATGCGGGGGAAAGAGAGGGAAGTTAGGTATGGTTGCGTGTTGTCTGACCTCCTAGTTCTCCTGCCAATAGTTTCCTTTGCGACATTCGTCCGGCAGGAGCAGCGGTTGACAAGTAGGTCGTGGTTGTACGAGCAGACATGCGGACATGGAACATGACGCCTTTGATCACACCGAGTTGGAGGTGCTTTCAAGCACAGTTCCAAGCATAAGACGTATGTGTCTTCCCGTATCGATGGCGCGTGCTTTGTATGATGGCAGAATTTCCGAACAAGTTCGGTTGACCGCCCATTCGTGTTGGAGCTGCGGGCCCTCTCAAAGCTCCAAGTGGCCGCCGCGCAGCGAGGCCTGGGCGCCCCCCGAGCATGGCGAGCATCTGCGCAGGAGGCTCCCTTGCATCAGTCCTGAAGATCCCCTATGAATCATCAAGAGCATCTGGGGGCCTCCAGTGCGTGTTCGTGGAACCTCCTCGTGGCGGGTGGCGCAGTGGGCTAGCCGCTCAGAGAGATTCGACCAGGGACTTGACGCCCTTGAAGCCAGTTTCAGAGCCTCGTGATTTCCAATGGCTGTCTTAGAGCTGCAGGTGCTCTCGAAGAGCGTTCTAGACTCTCCGCGTAGCCCCACCAGCCCATCCTGAAAAGATGCCCAGGCGAGCTGCCCTAATCAAGCTTGTGGTGGAGCACACAGTGGAAGGCAGGCTGGGAAGCTGTCATACCCCCAGAGGGTGAGGACAGAGGAGGAACCAGAGGATGAGGAGGAGTGGGGGGGGAGAAGGGAGACGGGAGGAGTGAGCAGGAGGATTAGGCGTCTGAGGAAGAAGAGAACCAGGAGGGCGAACAGGAAGGCCAGAGGCCTCTTGGATGCGCCCCGGAGTCGCTTAGGATGTCTCGAGAGCTTCTGCAGGCCTTTTGGGGCGTCGTTGGGGGCCTCTTGGCGGCCTCGGGGGCCTCTTGGAGCGCCTTGGGTGCCTCCAGGGCGGGGGGGGAGCTTCTTGGGGATATGTTGGGAGCCTTGTGTCGACATCTTGGGGGCATCCTGGGCGCCCCTGAGGCCCCCCTGGGCGCCTCTTGGAGCCCGCTTGGGGCCCTCTTGGAGCCCTCTTGGAGCCCTTTTGGAGCCCTCTTGGAGCCCTCTTTGGAGCCACGGGGGCCATCTTGGGGCCAGTGTGGAGGTGGTCGATCAACGAAGGAGGCCTCCTCAATTCCCCTCCCCCAGATGGCCAACATGTGGCCTGAGCCTTCTAGTATCTCAATGACTTGGCCCTCCTCGCTGAGGCCACCTTGGACGCTCCCAGCTGCTCGCGAACCGCCCCGTCCAGGTCCAGGGCGGGGGGGTCCCGACCTTGCTGTGCCGTTCCCGGCCCTGCTTTGCTGCTGGGTCCCCGTGTTCTCTCGGCAGCGCCGCGCGTCTCCTTCCTGCCCTCCTCCCTCCTCCTCCTCCTCCTCCTCATCCTCCTCCTCCTTTTCCTCCTCCTTCTCCTTGTCCTCCTCCTTCTCCTCCTCCTCCTCCTCCTTGTCCTCCTCCTCCTCCTTCTCCACCTCCTCCTCCTTTTCCTCGTCCTCCTCCTCCTCCTCCTTGCTCTTGCCTTCCGGTGTTTCGGCTGACCCCTCACGCGCGCGGTGCCCCCAGTGAGAGCTCCACCAACGGCCCGGGGGAGGGCGTATTCATAGTATGTTGGCACACCCCTCACGCGGATGGTGCCCCAGAATGAGCTCCACCTTCGGCTTCAGTGAGGGCGTTGGCATAGCGTCCCCAGCACATGTTGGCACACCTCTCACGCGGATGGTGCCCCAGAATGAGCTCCACCTTCGGCTTCAGTGAGGACGTTCGCAAAGTACTTCTCCGCTCATTTCGGCGCACACCGAATGCGAATCCTGCCCCGTAGGGAGTTTCACCGACGGCCTCGGTGAGGGCTTTCGCACAGTGTCCCCCGCCCTTGGGCAAGCCCGTC